AATGAGTTTTCGCACGTAAACGTTGGATGATATTTTAGTGTGCCTACTCTAACATCTGCATTTCGTATGCGCCAACTGTCGCGAGCTGCACGCTGGGCCAGCAGCCCCTTTTCAGGATTTCATCGATTACTTATTTTCGCAATTAGGATTTATGTGCAGTCTTTCGAAATATAGAGCGGTTTTTACTCATCTTCAGTCTCTGACTGATCTTATTGATTGGGAGTGGCTACTCTTACATTTATTCAGCATGACACTGCTGTTCAAGTGCACGCCGGAACGCGCACGAAGGTCAAGTATGACGTACGAAAATTAGTGGTGGACAGGTAGGTGTCCCTCCAAGTAAATAATGCTTTTGAACATCTAGTTCGCAAACGTCCACGGGCAGTTGGGGTCAAGATATGGTGCAGAATGAACCCCTAAATGGTTATTCTTTCTGAATGCAGTTGCTTTGTAGAAAATGGGGATTTTTATAGCTGGTAAATTACCTCTACAACAGTACACTCGTTGTTTTGGTCGTGGTTTACTGTTACAAACCTATGCTGGAATATGATAACTGTACTTAAAATTCAAAAGAGTGAGCAAATGTCGGTGGCATACGCTTTTTTCATAACTTCTGCACCTGACTTGTGACTTCTGAACTTCATGTTAAGTTCATCATCAAATGACGCAACAACTAATCAAACATCAACCAGTTCATTTGCAATTTTGATCTTTCTTTGTTTCACAGTGTTCCATTTTTTTTGCTTAAATTTCCTAAAATCATATGTTCAAGTTTTTTGTAGAACATGAGCATCAACATATAGACCAGTGTTTCAGTAAGCTATCGTACATGCAACAGTACTCTTTTATTTAGTGCATGACAGAATGTCATACCTCGACAACTGATAAACGAAAAGTTGTTTGTACACTTTTACTAAAATCAAGCAAGTAACACTTTGCCTAAGATAAGCTTATACTGATTAGGCTAGACATGTTAGCTGTTATCATTCTAGACGGGGTTAAGATAAGTGGCAGTGAATAAAACTAAAGCTAGTTTGACATATGTGATGAAGGCGCCTCCTATTTTGACGAACATAATTATCTTTAATATAGCGAGCCTAATTGGGGCTAGTTAAACTCAGTCAATATTTTTCGCGTCCAGAGATACCAAGTAAAGGATAAAAGTAAATACATTTAACCGAAATGATTATATTTAGGCTCTTTGGAATATTATAATGTTAGCTGAGACCAATACTCAGGCTCACTATTTAACCTGAGTTTTAACCCAACACGTCTTGAATACTGGCATTTTATGTCGCATAAATAAATGTGCTCAAGTTTATTCATTATTACTACATGTACAGAAAATGGGTTACATATTAGATACAGAATAAGGAGGTCCCAAAGTATCAGACTGCCAGGAAGGCACTTCTATATTTATTAGGGCACATGAAAGGTAAGAGCAGCATTAAATTAGTGGTTAACTTAGTTACGTAGCCCGCTTTAAGGTGGGTATAAATGAATGTAGTTTAACGTGGTTGATCATAGAATCGCCTAATTGGAGCAATATTACGTCTACTTACATCATACCTAACTAAACCCGAATAAACGATTAAACTAAGTGAGATCGAATTACGCATAAAGTCTGAGAGTGGAAGCTCAATTAGGCAATAATTTTTCTTGGCCAAGTCAAGCGTCGTTGAGCTAAATCATATCTCGTTAGTGTTAAGAGTAAATATATTTATAACATTTTTTATGTTTGCGACATGAAACTAAGTTCACTTAAAATAGTTCATGTCAAAAATCAGGCAAACAGTACCTAGTTAAGCCTAATTGAAGTATCTTTCACTCACCCCTAAGCGGTGGTGTAGCGGCTAAGATACACGGCTGCTGACCCGCAGGCCGCGGGTTCGAATCCCGGCTGCGGCGGCCTGCATTTCTGATGGAGGCGGAAATGTTGTAGGCCCGTGTGCTCAGATTTCGGTATACGTTAAAGAACCCCAGGTGGTCGGAATTTCCGGAGCCCTCCCCTACGGCGTCTCTAAAAATCATATGGTGGTTTTGGGACGTTCAACCCCACATATCAAAATCATATCTTTTGCCTAATGAGACATCTGTGTCTCAATCAAAAAATAATATACTGAAATGACCCTATTTATTATACATTCAGTGGGGAATAACTAGTCCCGTTCTGGGCTCTGTTTTCCCTAGCTCATTCAAAATTAAATTTGGAATAATTGAGCCCAATTAAATTGGCCTTATTTGGAATAATTGCAGTTTGGTTAATGAAGATATACCTTAATCAACCTAATGATGTTTGGCTATACGTATCTTGACTCATCTGGTATCATCAAAGCCTAACTTGGCTTATCATGAAGACAACAAGTTTCAACTGTTCTTACTCGTTTATATAGGCTGATTAGGCTTAACTTCCTTAACGCAACAAAGTCAAGCGAGGCGAGAAAAGATAATTTTGCATACTTGATTTCATTAGGTTTTCGATGCTAGACATGCTCAGTTGTTCTAATTGGTAGGTGCAAAATGACAACCAGGTGCTTGAACCGGATTCGCTGGAGCCCCTTCGACAAAGATCGACCTAGCAAAAAAAAAAAGGACACCAAGTTTCGTTTTACCTGTGAGTGCTCTAATCTTTCCGAATGAACGATAGGAGAGGCCAACCCCACCGCATCGGTCTAGTGACTAAGGCACTAGGCTGATAACCTAAAGGTTGCGGTATGGAATCCCGGCTGCGGTGACTGCATTTTCGATTGAGGCGAAAATGGTGTGGGCCCGTGTGCTAAAATTTCGGTGCACGTTAAAGAATTCCAGTTAGTCTGGATTCCCGGAGCCTTTCACTACGGCTTCTCTCACAATCAAGTAGAGGTTTCGAGACATAACATTTGTATTACCCACATAATTTTTGTAATTAATGTACATAGTATAGACCCCTTAGCCCTATCTTGGATTAAAAATTTTTAACCGGTCGTGTTTTGTATACTGTTGTCGCGAATAGTGAATCAACCCGTGTTGATGTGGTTTCCGGTGTACCGCAAGGTTCCGTTCTTGGGTATTTTTTGTTTATAATCTTTATTAATGATATTCCAGACAAAACTTCATCCACCATCCGCCTTTTTGCAGACGATTGTGTGCTTTACCGTCGCATCTCATGTTGCACTGACCAAATTACACTCCAGAATGACTTGTGTGACATACATAATTGGTGTTCGCGTCGGCTGCTGCAGCTTAATACACAAAAATGTGAATTCATGCAAGTTTCGCGCAAGCGCACCAACTTTTCCTTCCAGTATTCTGTGAACTTCCAACCCTTAACCCAGGTCGACTCCTATCGTTATCTCGGCCTCATAATAACAAGTAAACTAACATGGTCCGAGCACATAGAACAACTAGTCTCCGCTTCAGCAAAATCACTTGGCTACATTAAAAGATCGCTTACGTCCTGCCCATCGCAAATCCGAAAATTAGCTTACGAAACCCTCAGGTGTACTAAACTTGAATATGCTTCTGCTATTTGGAACCCTCACCAAAATTACCTAATCGACGCATTAGAAGCAATTCAAAATCGCGCTGCCAGATTCATCACCTCACAATACAGTTCTCGCTTAAGTATTACCAGTATCAAACTATTCCTCAACCTCCCTCCTCTAGAAATTTGCCGCAAGGTCACTCGGCTCTGCCTTCTGCACAAACTATACCATAATTTCCAGTCGCAACGCAATACCGTTCTTCTACTTCCCGCCCGTTTATCGCGTCGCCTCTTCAACTCCCTATGTTTACAGCGCTTACATGGTTCAACTAACGCTTTCAATCAATCATTTTTACCTACTGCCATTGAAGAGTGGAATAACCTGCCTGAATCCATAGTGCACGAAGAACGCCCCTTAAAATTTAAACAGCTTATCACAAATCACTTGATATGTTTGTTAATTTACAATTGTTGCCGTTTTCTTCCACGTATATATATATTTTTCCTTCTGCTGACATTGTTTTTTATCATGTAGTTCACTTTCGATTATGCTTTGTGCCATTGACAATCATGCATCTGTTGAATTGTGTTTTTGCCTCGCCCTTATGTAATACCCCGCAAGGAGCCTTTAAGGGTTAAATAAATGATGATATGATATATGTATTATAGACCCATATGTATACACCATCAGATACAATTATATGTATTATAGACCCCACATAATATTTGTTTTATAGGAGAATTCGCCCCTCCGCGGTGGTCTAGTGGCTAAGGTACTCAGCTGCTGACCCGCAGGTCGCGGGTTCGATTCCCGGCTGCGGCGGCTGCACTTCCGATGGAGGCGGAAATGTTGTAGGCCCGTGTACTCAGATTTGCGTGCACGTTAAAGAACCCCAGGTGGTCAAAATTTCCGGAGCCCTCCACTACGGCGTCTCTCATAATCAAATGTTGGTTTTGGGACGTTAAACCCCACAAATCAATCATATGAGAAGCCAACTTACCAACGGAATGAGCATGCGCACCACAGGAGGCGCGACCTAGGCAAATGGCACGTCGATGCATTCCGCCGCGTGATCCCGTGGTCTGCACACATTTGCTCATCCTTGCGCAATACAAGAAATGTGGGCATTCTAGAAGGTTGCATGTACCATGACGGCGATAAGACCGGCATAAACTTGTGTCAGCCGTTGATTGAGCTAGTAAAAAACTTAACATTGGTCGAGATACGCTAGCTCTTTTGGTAAGAGCGCGATGTTACTAGCTTCGTGTTAAATCAGCCAGTGACAAGAATTGGCGCTGGCATACCTATTGAAGTTTTTTGCGCATGGCCACCTTTCTCTCATGTATATGTACAATTCTTCGCTAATAAATCATTCTTGAAAGTCAGCACTTTGCGTTTTGCTTCCGCCAGTCATTGCTTGTTGTTCAGTTGATTTTCACCAGATTCCTGATGTGCTCACGCCTTACAAAAAAATTTCAATAAGAATTGCGTTTATCTAAGGGGTGAACTAATATTCTAGCAACCCTGGTAGTGCAGGTGGATGCAGAAACTGGCGTACCTCACACCAACAGACAGCTCATGGAAAATTGCGAACGCATCGCGGCTGGATTTCAAGCTCTTGGCTTGGCACGTGGAGACATGGTAGCATTTGCATCTGGCAACAGCGTCGACTTGGTAATGGCGTTCATCGCAGTGATCTTCGCTGGAGCGAAGATTACTTGCGTCAAGACTGTGTTCAATGCGAGTGAGTATTTGCGTCAGCGTTATATTTATTCATAAGGATGTTGGCATTTGCATTAGATGGTTTCACGTAGTTTTATCGTATCTTAAAGCGAAAGCTCTTATGAGATCACAACTCGGGTCTCGTGCATTACCGTAGTTGTCCGCCGCAGCCGCCGACGGTGTCCATAACCACAGCGCACGAATTGAAAAAAAAAAATCTTGTACCGATGACACAGTGGGCTCGAGCGCAGGTGGCTGGTTGCCAGCCCAGTATTCTACCACTGAGCTACGCTGGTGCTTGGGTCTTGTTGGCAAACTTGCCTTAGGCAGGCTTGAAGTCGAGAAAGCAATCGCGTTAATACGACTTTAAAGGGTTTCAAAACAGCGAAAGAAGAAGCAGTCGTCGCACAATGCGAACAGCGTAACGAGTGGGTCATTCAATGCCCCAACCCATTACAAAAGCTTTTTGTTCAGCTATTAACTGTGACGCATACCCACTTCAGACATAATTCCTCATTGTCGTCATCCACTGCATGAACAATTAGCACAAAATTCCTCGCAATAGTCATCTAATGAAATCAGCTGTAAACGCTTACTGCACATCGGTGTTCACACTCGGGCAGTGGTTGCGGCAGTGAAGACACTGGAGCGGCATCTGAAAACTTTGCTGACTTTTGCAGGTTGGTTCGCTATTCCGCAAATGTTCCCTCACTTGTATCCAGCTCTATATTTTGCTTCTGCTCTGCTGCCCGAGAGAGTGTTTTTTCTGTAACGCGTTTTTTAGCCTTCTAGAAAAGCTTCTGTGCATTATCGCTTTGTAACTGTTGTAGATCTGCAGCCAGTGCTTGGGCCATGAGCAAAGACCCTGGCCAAACGTGTCTAGCATGTTCTGAGGAATTACTGATAGATGACGAATGCATGAATTGAACGGAATGTGGTTTGCGTTTTCATATTGGAAAGTGCTCCGGTGTTAGCGAGCGCACATACAGATCTAAAGGCGTTGAAGTGAGGGCGAATATGAAGTGTCAGACATGACGCTTGACAGTGTCTCGAAGCGCTGCCACTGTGCGACAGCAGTATTGCTCTGTGGCTGTTGCTTTGAGCAGGCAGCTGGCAGACAAGAACAGAACACTTGATGCGCTTAGAGTAAAGGTCTATCAGATAACAAGTCTTAAAGATGCAGTGAGCAGCATTTAGACATCTATGCAACACATGTCCGACACTTATGATAAGCTTGTAGAAGCTTCAAATAAACATGACAAGCAAATCGAAGCCCTAGAAAAGACCATTGATGCACTCGAAGCAGTTAATCACAAACTGACAATTGCAGAGCTGCGCATGGAGGTGAATGCCCTAAATCAATACAGCAGCAAACAAAACATGTAAATTCTTGGTTTGCCTGACAACGAACGCGCGGATATTGTGAACAAAGTGAATGAACTGGCGAAGAATCTTGAGTTGTCAGTGCTTACAAAGAATGATGTTGATAGGCTGCACTGCATTCCTCAAGGTCAGACAGAACCCCGGTCATGCTCATTAGGTTTCGAAAACAGTACACGAAAGCGCAATGGATTGCGAAGTGAAATACTCTGAAGAAATCAAAAGGAAACCAGCGACGCGACTAAAACATTTAAGGCAGATATAGCAGCTCTAAATGTTAAACCGACAAACTTGCACAATCTTTTGCAATAATTTAAGAAATGATTGTACGAATTGAATACTCAGAGTCTGTCATGCAGCGGCAGGCAGAAAAACCTATTGCATACGAAAACCGAAGTCGAATAAATAACCTTATTGTTTTCAGCATTCCTGAGCAAAACTCTGAAACTGAGACGGACTTAATGGCGTCTCTTGTGGAAAACGTGTTTCACAAAATACTCGAACTCCAGGCCACAACAATACAAAGAATTCATCGAATTGGCAGAGAACAATCGGGAAAAATTAGGCTGGTCATGATGAAACTTTATGTTTTCAAAGAGATGGAACGCGTATTGATGAACTGTGGCAAACTGAGAGGCAGTTCGATTAGTGTGAGTAACGATTATGCCCAAGAAACTGTACATGTATGGAAGAAACTATGGAATATTGCGGCAGCAGATAGGGCTTGGGGGAAAAACAACGCTGGTTCACGATAAACTCAAAGTAGATGGCAGGCTGTATGGCTGGAAGTGTGGCAGCTTGGGCTAGTTGGTATGGCATGACGATAGTTGTAGCGCGAGAACAAAACGACGACACATATTCAAGAAGGACACGAAAGATCTAACACCGGGAGTGAAAAAAAGAAGATGGCGAGAGTACTGCGACCGAATCAACTACACTGCAAACTGCCTGTGGTCACGTGAGCTCACTAGCCTTCGTACGCAGCACCCAGTGAAGCCCCGGCAATCAGATGTGGTCCACTCATGCAGTGACGTCGTCCTCCCAGACTACGTCCACAGCACCCTCGCCCTAGGTCCGAAGTTCACCGTCGACCGAGAGAGGTCCACACCCGAGCTTCTTTCAATGGTGCGCTCTGTTGCTGGCAGCGCTTCACCAGAGGATTCGGACAGGTGCATCTCAGAAGGCGTCGACGTACTCCTACAAGTAAGCCTACCAGCAAAAGCCTTCCGTTGCGGAAGACAACCAAGTTTCTTAGAGACAATGAACTTTTTGTCGTGCCGTCAGAAATAGAGGGTGGTTTCGCCGTGTTTCCTAATTGCTTGTACCTGGAAAAGGCGGTTACAGCTATCGACTCTGTTTTAAAATGTTGTACAGACATTCGTCTAGATAGAGTAAAAACGCAGACCAGGAAATGTGTCGTAAACTAGAGTTAAAACAGTTAGCACAGCATATTAGCAAAAGTGACGAAAATAGCTCAGCATGTTTTTTTCTGCCAAAACACATAAGGCTGACTTGCCCTTCTGTGTCACTGTGACAGAAAGTTGTACGTGGCAAAAGCAGCACGGCTTGTTTATTCAGATCTATATAAAGTGTCTAAAGATTGATGACCCATTTTTTATTAAAAACTCGCAGGCTCTGATAGAATTTTTCAAACAGTCAAATCAATTTAATATATTCGGTTTTTCAATTGACATAAAGGACCTATACTACTCTCTGCCTCACGATGAGGTATTGAATGAATAAGGAATAACAAGGAAAGTTTCGGGGAATCGAACTTCCAATCAAAAACCTGGCACCAGTGCGCGAGATTTTTTTGACCTGGTTTTGCTGTACCTTACCTCAACTTTTGTTTAATGGAACGATTGCATTTACCTGCAGAAAAAGGGTGTTTCAAACGGCTCATGCATAGCACCTCTACTCAGTGATCTTCTATTGGCAAAAATGAGCAAAAAACTTCAGGAAAAGTTAGAAGGCTCGCATGTCGTCAAAGTATTCAGATACGTGGATGATTTCTTGGTTCTTCTAAATTGTAATTCTTCTATGTTCCACTCGTTTGTGACTCAAACGATATGTGTGTGCGAAGATTGTTTAAAGCCTCTTGTGTTGACACATGTAATGCCCAAGAATGACAAGTTACGCTCTTTGGAATTAAGACGGGTTTTAGCTCACAGCACATCTGTTGGTTTTATGAACCACGTGCGCAGAAACCTCTACTTTCTTTTTCTTACGCTCACAGCAAGTTAGGTAAGCAAGACATAGCACGAACCTGTCTTGAAATTGCCTTAAATAGGTCGTGTGCCCACAATATCTCTGCGAGCTTCAAAGCTCAAGTTTCCCGGCTTAAGGCTTCGGGTTTCCGCGACGCATTTATCGCTTCCGTTGCTGAGACTATACTGCGGACTAATAAGGCAGAGCAGAGGCAGCGACAGAATCTGAGCAACACGGATACAGAACGTGAAAGGATAGCCGTGATATTATACAACAGATATCACACAGGCTCAAGTTAATCGGGAAACGTGTTAGAGTTCGTGTCCTGTTCTCGGCATCGTTCAAATTAATCAGCCTCACCACATCTACAAACCCCCTGAAAACGCAGTCACCAGCGGAATGCAGAGTTAACATAGAAACAGGTATGCGGCATGCTCCCGGGAAGTTGTCTATTGGACTTCCCTTTCATGCGGTGCTTGTTATGTCGGAACGACCGGAAGGTGTCTGAACGATCGGCTGAAAGAACACGCTATCAATGTTAGAAACGTGGTTCTCTTGCCCAGCACTGCACTGAGTGCAATTGTGTGCCCCTTTTCAAGGACACAGCGACGGTGTACAAGCACAAAGATGAGCGCATCCGAGTCATTGTCGAGGCCACGCAGATGGCACGTGAACAAGTGCCTTATATTACCAAGCCCTCCATGGCTCTGTCCGAGAAGGAGCTAAGGTTCCTCGAAGATTTCGGTGCGCGCAAGTGGTTATATTATCTGTACTTTTCTGTTTCGTTTTCTTGTAGATTTTTCTTTGCCGTTTTTATGTGCTTTTGTTTTGTTTTTGTTTTTCTCTTACTCATGTTCTGCTCTTTGTGCTATATGGTTTTTATCACATGGTTAATGTTTCCTCTATACATTTTCCTGCTCTGCACAATAAATTCAGTTGGAAGTTTGCGCTCGTGTCTTTCGTGTCCTTCTTGTCTTCGTGTCGTCGTTTTGTTGTCGCGCTATAACTATCGTCATTCCTCGAAGGTTTCGGTGCGCGCAAGTAGTTATATTACCTTTACTTTTCTGTTTCGTTTTCTTATAGACTTTTCTTTGCCTTTTTGTGCTTTTATTTTTTCAGTTACTCATGCATTGCCCTTTGTGCCACATGTTTTCGCGCTATGTGCAATAAACTAAGTTGGAAGTTAGCGCTCGTGTCTTTCGTGTCCTTCTTGTCTCTGTGTCGTCGTTTTGTTCTCGCGCTATAACTATCGTTTATGGCAGGGACCATAAAATGCAAAAACGTTTCACTTTACAGAACAAACGGGGCAAGGGGGATCGAGATACCCCATTAGAGGCATCAAATGAATCTCACCCCCCCCCCCCCCCAGTCCTCCAGGTGTAACCTCGTCATTATTATAGCTAACGGTCACACTGTTAAACGCTCGTAGTGTCG